GGGGGTAGCCTAACTCAGCGAGGAGAAAGGAGAGCCAGCGTGCCTCTTGAGCAGCCATTGTGCCCGCGTAGAGCTCGGCCTCGCAGGACGACAGGGAGACTGCAGAGGACCGAGTGGAGCGCCAGCTGATGACTCCGCTACCAAGGGTGAAGCAGTACCCTTGGGAGGAGCGTCTGTCAGTCTGGTCATCGGCCCATGAGGAGTCTGTGTATCCCTCGAGCTTGACTGGAGAGGTACCACCAAGAGTGAGAATGTGAGACTTGGTGGCTTGTAGATAGCGGAGGACCCTCTTGGCTGCAGACCAATGCGAGGCAGTGTAGCGTCCAGGGGAGACGTACCGAGAGAGGACACTATAACCGGGTAAGCCAAGTCTGGTCGAGTGCACATCATGGCATACATGAGTGAACCGACTAGCTCAGGGTACGGGTCCTTGCAGGCGTCAGGAGAAGGAACTGGAGGGGCCGTGAGCTGATGCTGTAATGGGAGTGGAGTGGAGACAGAGTTACTGGAGTCCATGTCGAACCGCTTGAGAAGGTTGTCGATGTAGGACTCCTGGGAGAGGGTGACCGTGCAAGCCTGGCGGTCACGAGTGATCTCCATCCCCAGGTAGTTCTTGAGGTCACCAAGATCCTTCATGAGAAGGGCGGAGCTGAGAGCAGACTGGACAGCTGCCATGTCGGCTGGATCTCTGGCGGCTAGAATGAAGTCGTCGACGTAGACGAGGATGTAGAAGGGCTCGGAGGAGTGACGAACGAAGAGACTGGAATCTGAGGCAGAGGGATGGAAGTCAAGTGCGAGGAGGACTTCCTTCACCTTGTTGTGCCACTCACGAGGAGCCTGCTTGAGGCCATACACTGGGCGCTTCAGCTTCCACAATGTGTTGGCAGGGTAAGTGCCAGGAAACCCCGGTGGGCGTTCCATGTGAACATCCTCCTTGAGCTGGCCTTGGAGAAAGGCGGAGGAGGCGTCCATGTGTCAGAAATAGACTGCAACTACCACTTTTGTATTTGTACTTTTATATCCTAGTTTAGGTTGTGAATGTTCTAGAGGGTTGGGGTGTACTCAGAAATCCCAACCTCACCCAATTGAGATCCCAATGAGGATTCACTCCAATTCCCCCTTCATCCATTCTCTCTCACCTTGCCATGTATTTATAGAGCCTTGGGCTCCTTACCTAATCAATCATTTCGACTCTATTTCTTACATGGTATCAGAGCGACCTATCCGCACACGCGGATCAAGGTCCTAATCTGAACGTGCCTGCGCTACGCGCACTTCATCGTCGCGACATTCGTTTCGAGTCGTCGAAATTTCGACCTACTCCAGTCTGCAGTCGCACCTCTCATCGTCGACCACCTTCGCGCTCGACCTCGTTGAATTTTTCATCTCTGAAGCGTTCACGCTTCTCGTCGTCGATTTCCTCCTCGGTTCTCCTTGGTCGAATCTCAATTTCGACCATCTCTTAAAACTTGTTCTCGAGTTTCCCCTCAGACCCCGCCAGAATAGGCGAACTCCCCTCGCGAAATCGCCTCCACGAACGTCTCGCGTCAAGCAAGAACAGGTACACAGGTTGAAGCGGAGCGGAGCTGGTTGCGGAGCTGGTTGCGGAGCTGGTTGCGGAGCTGGTTGCGGAGCTGTGTAGCTGCGGGACAGGGCCTGGGGGTGTGTGGGGGGGTGTGTGGGTCCGGGGTTAGACATAGGCTCAGATTCAGTTTCAAGTCGGCGTTTTAACGAATTCTCGGCGACGCCATTTCCTACTTAGCGGCATTTTGATACAGCCGTCAGAGTGATTTTCAGCAATTCTTGTCGACCAATTTCCAGAAGTGTCGTGCTGCACACCGACAATGGCTTACTCAACCACTTCACTCGCCAACCCGATCCCGCTCCTTCGTCTCGAGCCGGACGGCACATGCTCCAACTACAAGGCTTGGCGCTATAGTGTCGACAAGCACCTCCTCAGTCGCGAGGTGAAGGGGCTCGAGCTCACCGACGTCCTTCTCAACATCGGTGACGGCAAAGAGCCTCCTAAACCCGAGAGGTCCGCCGATCCAGCTAATGCCGCCGCCGAAGCAGTTTATGCTGCTGCACTGCTCAAGTACAAGAATTGGGAGAAGGCCGATGGTGCGGTCATTAGTGTCTTCATGGGCACCACTCCTCCCGAACTCGTCGAAACCTACCACAACTACCCGTCTGCCAACGCCATTTGGCTCTACCTCGAGGATCGCTTCCTGAACAAAACTGCAGTGGGAGTTGCTATACTCATCCCCAGCATGTTCCAAGTGCGGCTCGAGGACTCGCCAGGCATGGCGGACTATGTCACCAAGGTGCAGTCCATTCATGGTGAACTCAAACAGTTGGGGATAGTCTTCCCCGAGCAAGCCCCTGCACCCGCTCTCCTAGTCGGCCTCACTCCGGCATACGAAGTCACACGCAAGATGCTCTTGGGCCTTGCTCCTGCAGACCTCACATTTGCCAAGGTCTCATCCGCGCTCCTTTCTGCCGAAAAGGACAACAGCGCTCAAGCCAAGGCCAATGCAATCCGCGCTCCCGTGCCTCAAGCCTATGCCGCTTCGGCGCCATTCCAGCGCAACCGCTTCCCCCCGTGCCCCTATGTCATCAAGCGCGGCCCTCGTGCCGGCCAGGTGTGTGGCGGCACCAACCACGCCCTTGCCTCCTGCTTCAAGAAAAAGGATGACGATTGGTATGCCGTCAATGGGACCGCCTCGAAGCCGCCAAGCTGGATGGTCAATCGTGCTCCTCGCAAGGTCAATCAAGTCGAGGCGCAGGAATCCGTGCAGACTGCTGTAGCTCCCATTGCTGATTTGCGCCTCCACATGTTGTTCCCTGGCACTCCCATGATTAATGAGACAATTTTGCAGTGTCCCGGCTCACAAAGCACCTCAGCCACAATAGAGTTCACCCTCGACAGTGGGGCCACTCACACGGTTCTCAAGGAAGAACACTCCTTCAAGCCATACGAGACACCAATCCGTCTACTAGGAGCAGACTCCAGTTTCACAACACACACCAAAGGGCTCCTCCACAGTTCCGTGCCCAGCTTTTCCTTCGGGCAGTGTGACTGGCATGTGTGTTCCAAGAAACTTCTTCTTGGCCTCCCGTCGGCGCTTCCTCCACCAACAGACTCACCTGCACCCACCTGCCTCGATTGCACCAAGAGCAAGCTCAGGCAGCAGCCGCATCCTTCCTCCCCATCCGTCGCAGCTGCTCCGCTGGACCTAGTGCACATCCCCGTGAGTGGCACGACACCCTGCGTGCTACCCTTGCTGACCTGCAGTTCTTTCCGTCTTCTGCAGACCCCTCACTCTTCGTTCGTGCTGGCCAGACTCTGTTCTACATCCTTGTTTACGTCGACGACCTGGACTTTGCCACAGCAGACAGGGACGCACTGGCTTCAGTGAAGGCAGAGCTGCTGAAGAGACACACGTGCACTGACCTTGGAGAACTGCGCCGTTACCTTGGCTTGCAGATCTCCCGGGACAGAGCAGCGCGCACCATCACCTTGACTCAGTCACACTTGGTGCGCCAGGTCCTTCAGAGGTTCGTTCTTCAGTTCTCCTGTGCACAGCCCACCCCTCTGCCTGTAGACCACAGACTCTCTGCTCCAGTTCCTGAGGAGTCGGTAGAGCCCAGTGGCCCCTACGCTGAGCTGGTGGGTTGCCTCATGTACCTGATGACTTGCACTCGCCCAGATCTCGCATACCCTCTAAGCATCCTGGCTCGCTTTGTGGCCACAGGCAGACACCGACCGCAGCACTGGTCTGCTTCTAAGAGGGTTTTGCGTTATTTTGCTAGTACATCAGGCTTGGGGTTAGTGCTAGGAGGACGTGGGCCAGTGGTTCTTACTGGACACACAGACGCTTCTTGGGCAGACGACGCCGAGACACTCAGGTCTACCCAGGGCTACTGCTTCAGCCTTGGCTCAGGTGCTGTCTCGTGGAGAGCCACCCGCTCCTCGTCTGTTGCCCAGTCCAGCTGTGAGGCCGAGATCTACGCCGGTGCCATGGCGGCACAGGAGCTCCGCTGGCTGACCTTCTTGCTCACTGACTTAGGTGAGCGGCCTAGCTCTGCCCCAGTTCTGTTCGCTGACAACAGGGCCATGATCCTCCTGTGTCAGGAGCCTCGACTCGAGGCCAGAGCGAAGCATATTCAGCTGCGGTACTTCCTCCTGCGCGAGCTACAGCAGCGACGCCAGGCTCGCGTAGTACACTTGGCCTCAGGTGCCAACACAGCTGATATCTTTACGAAGGCGCTTGCGCCTAAAGATCATCTGCGGCACTGTGTACAGCTTGGTCTAGTTCCTGTAGCCTCTCACTTGCTAGGGCCTTGACTTTGTACTGTCCTTTATATGTGTACTCAGACTGGACTTGTGTCCTCTCCCAGTGGTTGGACTAGTAGTGCCGCCCTGGTCTTGGTCTTGCCTTGTCTGTACTCCTTCTGACTGGTCTTTTAGACCCTTGTCTCAGAGGCTGGACTAGTAGTGCCGCCCTGAGCTGCTTGTTTAGGACCTGCCCCTATGCAATCTAGGGGGTGTGTCAAACATGTGTATCTCCTATGTTTGCATAGACTGTATAGGGCCATCTCTTAAAGGGTACAACACTTAGGTATATTCACCTGTACTCTCTCTCTACTCAATCATTCAGTTCCCACTTTGATACTTATGCCACGCGTCGCTATTTCCGCGTCGTCTGGGGCAGTGACGAATGTGTCTGTAGCGGATGCCAATCAGCGGCGTCGGTGTGACGCTGAGGTGGTGGCCCTTGTTTTTTATCTTGGCGTTATAGACCGGCTGCGGGATCAATAATGAATTTGGGATCGTTGATTCTGATGCACCTTCCTAGGAATATGCCCTAAAAATCAAAACTGGGACATAACCTAGACAAACATCCCAGGTTGGGTTGGGCCCACCAATACCGGTAGCTTTAATGTGCGATGCGAAGGGCAAAAGGAAGAACAGGGTGGTTAAAAAAATACCCTTATCAACAGGGCTGCAAACTTTATACCCTGCAAAATCAGACTTCCAGAGTTTGGTACCCTGGCTCACAGGATATTTCGGTGGGGCGACCCTGATTTCAAAGGGCGGCCCAAAACCAAGTTTGGGCACTGGACAGCCTGATTATCCGCGTTGAAGTGCAGTGGATTGCGGCTGCGGATAGGAAAGTATTGTTCAGCTATAACTAGACGAATGATGGGTTACAAGTACAATTCCAGCACAATGGAGAGCAACGCCCACGATCTGCACAGCCAGCAAGGAGCCAGCAAGGAGCCAGCAAGTAGCTGTCGAGAGACCTACTGGGGTTGCCCTAGAGATCCTCGGGAGGGCCACAGGCCTCTATGCCTGGGGGGTTCTGGGCGCGCTGACCCGTTACATAACAAGCCCTTTTAGCACAGTGGTTTGCGGCTGTGCTTTCTGACAGTAGCCAGCTGTTGGCGGTATATGCATGCATATTAATGCTGCACCAGCAGCTGCTTCATGTTTCTACGATTTTCCGACACCAACCGCTTCGGTTTTGCTCACGATCTCACCCCACGCGCCCACCAGCATGCTTCTGTGTGTCTACATCGAATCGCCATCCCCGCCGTCCTCTCCTCTTGCATCTGCCCATGCACCTGCCCCTTCCCTGGCGCCCGCCTGCCTGCCCGCCCACTCTCACTGCCATCTCCATGCGACCCGCTTCGCCTCTACCACCCACAAGCACCACCAGTGCACTTGGAGCACGCTTGGAGCGAAGCACACAAATGGCAGCAGGGCTGTGGAACGATCACCCTGCCCTCTCAACAACGCTCACCCCACCCCTCCCCTATCGCCCAACGCTGCCTCGCTCGGCCCGAGCCTCCACCTCAGCTTCGGCAGCCACAGCCTCCATCTGCGCTCCCAGCGCCTCGAGCCCCGCCAGCATGTGCGCGCGCTCCTCCTCCTGCACCGCCTCCACCGCGCTCACCCGCGCCGCCGGCGGCTGGCGCCCCTCCCTGATGGCCCGCCGCCACTCCTGCACCGCGCGCTCCTCCTCCTCCTGCTCCGTGCGCACGAACTCCGCCTGGGGGGGGGAGGGGAAGGGGAGGGGGGCAGATGACGGACGGTGGAGCGCGGGAGAAATGCAGGAGGAGGTGATGATGACGTGGAGAGGGGCAAGGATTGGACGAGGGTGAAGCGCACAAGAGGAGGCGGAGGAAGTCGAGACCGCGAAGTCAGATGGAAGTTTTGAGGCACCTCAAAACGAGGAAGAAGAGACCGCGAAGTCAGATGGAATGGACGAAAACGAGAACCACGGAGAGAGCACGGACTGTGTTGTGGAAAGCAACTAGATCCACAGTGGAATCGGAGAGATGTGAAATGCAGCCGACGACAACAGAGAACAAACTGTGAGTTTTGCAAACCCTTGCAGCTAAACCAATGTAGACTGCAGCATGATCCACAGTTGACATTATCTCATATCGCCAAGCCTCCACCCACTACTCCACCACCTCTCATCCCTCACCTTTCACCCGCTCGGCCCCCATTACCTCCACAGCGTCCCTGGCCTAACGCGTGGCCATCTTCTGCTGCGCCATATGCCACCATACACAGCATACCACCACACTACCACCTCTCTCACCTCCACCGCATCGCACCTCCACTTCACTTTCACATCATCCCTCACTTTCACATCGTCTCTCACTTTCACATCATCCCACACCTCCACTTCACTGTTCACCTCCACCGCATCCCTCACCTCCTTATCAACCCTCACCTCTCCATCACCCTCACCTCCACATCACCCCCACCTCCACATCACCCCCACCTCCACATCACCCTCACCTCCACATCACCCTCACCTCCACATCACCCTCACCTCCACCGCATCTCTCACAAGGTGAAAAAAAACGGCGTTTATTTTCTTTTTTAGACCGTTTGCTACGGTACTGTATTTTTCGGCAGTTTTAAACGGTTCTGAAAGTTAGCTTCTTTTTTTTTGGTTGAAAAAAACGGTCGTTTTATACGGTCGAAATATTAAAACCGTGGGTGTACTGCAGCAATTCGAATTTGATACCGGATTCGGACGGTTGGGTGTAGACCCAACCGTCCGCGAATGTTCGGTCAACACATTCCCGAAGCGCGAAATTTCGCGCGCCCCGAGGCTCGCATTTTTGAATTTCCGCCAGACCCGTTGCGAAACCAAAATCGGTTTCGCAACGGGCTGGCGATTTCGATCGCGCCCAATAGCAGGATGTCGCAAATTGTGCGACTCACGCAACTGAGTCGCATTTCGAAATCGCAATTTCACCCTCCCAACCTGTTCTTGCAACCCCAGCCCAACTAAACCTTAAGCTAGAGATACAAATCACAGAGCAGCAACAGGGAGCATTATTAGTCTAGCATTCTGGAATCAGTAACTTAACTTCGCCCAGCCAGCGTGGCTGAACTACTTCACGCCGATTTCAGCGCGTATTTCAGGCGCGATCTAGCGCACAACAGCCTCGCGAGACGTAGGCGCCTGATCGCTATGCCCCGCGCCCCGTCTCTTTGTGGGCGCATGTGAAGCGTACTCGGGATTACGATGGCAAGGTCATCCGGTCGGAATGCTTGCACTGCGGTTTGAACATTTCGACGCACATACAAGAGCACCTTTACGGCACCCCTGCGTCGAAATTCAAGAATATTGCGGAGTGCAACTCCGACTTTGCAAGGAACCTCCGCGCAAGGGGAGCCTTGTCTTCTACTACAACGACGACAAACCGTGGGTCGGCGACTGCGGTTGCTGCACCAGCGGGGAAGCGCTGCCAAACTTGCGACATTCGCGGCATGGTGGAAAAGGCCGGGCGGGATGCCCTCGATCTCCTGTGGGCGACTGCCATCGTGGAGAACGATTGGGCGTTCCGCGTTTCTCGGTAAGTGCGCCGTTTCCAGCCATCCCACCCCCTTTTCCAGCCTTGTAGACACTCTCCCGCCGCACTCCCGCCCTCCCCTCCCCCCTCCCCCCTCACCCCTCCCCCCCCCTTCTCTTACCTCTTGGCACGACATGAGAGGGACCATGCCGTGATGCCTAAAAATCCAGCACTCTCCCTTTCGGAACCCCACCACTAGGTCGCCCGCCATCCAAGCGTTCGTGGAGGGGGTGGTCGCATATGGCAAGCCCGACGAGCTGCCAAGTGCGTACAAGGTTACCCATCCCCTCCTCGACAAGCTCAAGACCAAGACCGAGGCGCTTATTCTACCCATCAAGGAGTCTTGGGCCTCGATTGACGTATCTCTGCCTATGGACGGATGGACCGACCTCAAGAGCCGCGGTCTTGTGTGCATCATCAGCATGAACGACACGGCGCCGGTAGTGGTCGACGTGGTCGATACGAAGACCCATAAGAAGACCAGCGCCTACCTTGCATCGCTCATTCAGGGTGCGCTAGGACATACTCGCATTGTCCAAGTGGTGAAGGACAATGCGAGCAACAACAAGAGGGCGGTGATCGACCTTGGTGAAGGATTCCCCATGGTATTCTTCACCAATTGTGCGGCGCATTGCCTCGACTTGATGCTCGGTGATCTTGGGGCGATAAGCGTGGTGCATAAGGTCCTGCAGCAAGCGCACCAAGTAGTCATGCTCGTGAAGGCTAGCGCCACCGCCGTGACCCTCTTTCGAGAGGACTTTAACGAGTTGGAGCTAGTCCGTCCCGGGGCTACTCGGTTTGGCACGCAAGTCCTTATGGTCGGCCGTTTCTTGGAGGTGAGAAAACAGTTGAAGAGCATGGTGATTAGCAAGGAGTGGGCAGAGGTGCCTGCAGTGAAAACGAAGAAGGGGAAGCGGATTCAAAGCCTTCTCCTAGACGAGGCTTTTTGGGGCTCGATGGAGGCAGTGCAAAAGTTGTTGATGCCGATGTATGAGGTGCTTCAGGTGGTGAACACCCGTTCTCACCTCATGGGACACATCTATGGCTTGATGCTTGACGCGACAATGAAGACCAACAAGGCCGCGGAGGCCGCAGGTCCTTGCCCATCCCCCCACCGCCATACTCCGTTGCGTACCTTTTTTGTACGGTCGAGGACAATATGCAGCCCCTACCTTTCCGGCCCTTACTAAACCGCCTCAAACCGTTGTTCTCCGTTTTTTTTCCCAGCCACATTTTTCATCAAGAGAACGGGGCTACTCTTGGCCAAGAACAAGGCATCGTTCTTGACCAAGGTGCAAATGATCATAGCAGCACGTTGGGACGGCCAACTCCACAACCCGCTCCATGCTGTGGGTTGGCTCCTCAACCCCCTTAACCACTTTGCCGAGGAGGTGAGGACCGACTCGGATATTGGTAAGGGGGTGAAAAGGGTGACAGAGGCGTGGGAGCCGGACATTCAGCGCCGCACACTCCTCCACTACCATATCGGGGAGGGGACTTTGGGCAGTTTGGAAGCACGATGGGCCACCACCCACCTTGTGGAGAGCGGGCGGTTCTCGGAGACGGAATGGTGGACCACCTTTGGAGGGGAGGTGAGGGCGTTGCAAGAGATCGCGGTAAAGGTGCTATCTCAACCCACGACCGTATCCAAGGTGGAGCGAGCGTGGTCGACGTTCGCACGGGTGCAACGTCAAGATCACAACCGGTTGAACACCTCCACCTTGATTGACGTCACGGTGGTGGCGATCAGCCGGCACTCGAGAAAGGCTTTCGACAGGAAGGTTGCGGCTCGGGACCGCCTCTACCAAGACCTAGGCGCTAGCGTGCTCAGAGAGGCGAGCTCTGGCCCCACACCACCCGCCTCCCAAGAGGAAGAGGGGGAGGGGGAGGAGGTGGTGGAGGAGGAGGAGGAGGTGGAGGGAGCGGTTGAGTGCACTATCGATTGGGAGTCCTTTGGGAGCATCCGCGAGAGGAAGAAGAGGAAGAGGAAGACCTCCACCGTGAAGCGTTCGAGAAAGGAAAAGGGCTCGGGGAAAGGGAAGGGGAAGGGGAAGGGGAAGGGGAAGAGGGCACGGGAGGAGGAGGACGACGACGACAAGGAGGAGGAAGTCCGCGGACCATGGGATCTCGGCGTGGGAGAGGGGGGAGGGGTTGGGGGGGGGTCGGAAGAGGAGGAGGACGACGACGAGGACGACGACGAGGAAGTGGAGGAAGAGGAAGTGGAGGCCGAGGAGGAGGACAAGGAGGATTCGGGGGAGGAGGAGGAGGAGGAGGAGGAGGAGGAGGAGGAGGAGGAGGAGGAGGAGGAGGAGGAGGAGGAGGAGGAGGAGGAGGAGGAGGAGGAGGAGGAGGAGGAGGAGGAGGAGGAGGAGGAGGAGGAGGATGAGTAGGGGGAGGAGGAGGGGTAGGAGGAGGGGTAGGTGGATGAGGAGGAGGATGGGTAGGAGGTAGTGTAGGGGGGAAATAAGTAGTAGGAGGAATATGCGGCAGACGCGAGCTTTGGCGGGACTATTTAGTTCAGCTAGGACCCCTACTATGCTTGCCATAGCCACCAATAGTCGTCTATTTTGTCCCCTTGTGTCCCTGGTTTTTTTTTGTTTTTTTTTTTGGAATTGTGGAAAAAAACAATATGAAAAAAACGGCGTTTTTTTATAATAAAACCGTTTTAAACGGCCTGCCGTTTTTTTCAACCTTGCTCACCTCCACGGCGTCTCTGGCCTGCCGCTTCGCCATGCCCTGCTGCATCAGCTCCAGCTGCCGCCACGCAAAACGCCGCGCCACTGGCGGGTCAAAGCCCTGCAGCCTGGGGGTGGGGGGTTGGCAAGAAAGCAGGGGGGATGGGATGGTGGGTTGATGGGGCGATGGGTGGTGGGGGTGGAGGGGGCTAACGCTGCGCCACTGGCGGGTCAAAAGCTCTGCAGGCTGGGGATGGGGACCGCAGGGATGGGATGATCGGGGTGATGTGGGTGGTGGGGTTGTTGAAGCAGGAGGGAGGATGGAGTCTGCAGTCAAACATGCGAGGCTAGGGAGAGGTGAAGCGGCTGACCGCCACGCACTGGCACATGGGCAGCCGCAGATGGGGAGGGATGGCGGGAGATGGGTGGGTGGCCGGGGATGTGGATGTGGTGGGAGATACGCCTGCAGCAGGCCTCACCTGTACGCCTGCAGCTTGGCCTCAGGGTGCCGGGCATAATACGACTCCACCAGAGGGTCCTCCGCCAGCTCGATCCGCCTTGCCTTGGGGCACCGCCGCGCCTTGGGCTGCGGGGGCACTCTGAGGGGGGAGAGGGGAACGGAGCAGGGGTAGGGGGGAGGAGGGTGGGGGAGAGAGGGGAGGCCGACGATGATGATGTTGATGGTTATGATGATGATGATGATGATGATGATGATGATGATGATGATGATGATGATGATGATGATGATGATGATGATGATGATGATGATGATGATGATGATGATGATGATGATGATGATGATGATGATGATGATGATGATGATGATGATGATGATGATGATGATGATGATGATGATGATGATGATGATGATGATGATGATGATGATGATGATGATGATGATGATGAGGATGATGATGATGTTGATGGTTATGATGATGATGACGGCGAAAACGACGACGAGGATCGTGGTGGTGGTGGTGCTGCTGCTGGTGACAACAGTGGCAGCGCCAATGACTCGGAGCGCCACTGACTGGGAGCGGCACTGACTGGGAGCGGCACTGACTGGGAGCGCCACTGACTGGCAGCGCAGCCGTCGTGTGACGCGGCGGGTGGTGGGGCTCGACTCCTCCGCTCGGAGTAAGGCAGCCCGCCACTGGAGCGCGCCACACGGCTGCGCTTCGGCAGGAGGGCGCGTGGCCCCGCGGGCCCCGCGTGGCCCCGCGTGGCCCCGCATGAGCGTGCATGGCAATGCAGAGTGGCGCATAGCCTCTTGCCCCTCGAACCTCTCTTTCCCCACCGCGGCCCCACTCCCCCTCTTTCCCCCCCAGCGCGCTCACTTGGAGAGCGCGTCGAGCCACTTGGGCGTGTCCACGATGCCGCCGCGCATCAGCAGGCGCGCCTTCTGCAGCAGATTGCCGCGCATGAACGACATGGCGCCGCGCGCTTGCGGGGAGATCGGTGATGGCAGGGGGTGGTGGTGGGTGGCGGGCGATGGCGCGGATTGGTGGGGAATGCGAGTGTCGCGCGATGGCGCGGGGATGGCGGCGGAGATATCGATAGTGGCGGAAACGGTCTGGCGGAGAACAAGAGGTGGGGGGAATGGCGCTGTGATTGCGGCTATGATAGAGGGCCGTCGCTTGACTGGCGGTCAGGCGGAAGGGAGATGGGGGAAGGCGGAAGTCAAGGAGATCGGCGAAGGGCGGAGGGGGTGGCGGAACAGGTGCCGCTGGCGGTCGATGCCTTGGAGGCGGCCGCTTGTAACGCGGAAACTAGCGACGAATGCGCTGTTGTTCGCAGGGCAGCGGCTGCGAAGGGTCCGAACTGAGGGCGCGGTTTCTGTAGTTCAGTTGGCAATGTTCAGGTCCTTTAGGGAAGGCAGGTTCGGATGTCAGGTTAACTACAATGCGCAAATATTTGTTTCGAGTTTCGCAGAAACCCCCACATTGTAACATCACAGAGAAGCACAGGTGCGCGCGTCGCCAAATCAATGCGCACTGACAAAACCGAACCACCAGCGATGTTACAATGTTTTGGCGCGCGTATGCGAACTTCATCTGGTGATGTTTGGGTTGGGGATCGGGCAACGCACAGTCTCGCAAATCATTTTCGCGAGTTTCGGGCATCAATCTCCAACTCCAGACTGGTACCTGGCTTGACGCATTGGATCATGGGTTGTTGATCACAAGTGTTACGCTGGTCGATTTCCGTGGTCGGAACGTGCCAATCTTATTTATGTTTTGCACACATAATCGTGATTGAAATGTGTCACAATCAAATTACCGGGTAGCCGAATCTAGGATGGCCAAACGAACGCCAAGAGATCTACGTTTACCGCGCCCTGAATGTGATGCCAAGGGCCCCACGTGTTGGTGTTGCAAAAGAGTTAGGCAAGGAGAAACGAGGTTTATCTCCCATCCTTCAAGCCAGGAACAAACAACCGTAAACGCCCGGATAGAAGACCCCTATGTCTTACCATATACCGAGGAAGAAAGTGGTGAAGTTTCTTATAAACGGAAAAAAATCAGGGGGTCCGGGTTTCTTATAAATGGAAAAAAAAAACTTATAAACGGAGCCCTTTTTGGGTGTGCAGAAAGTGCTAACCTAGGTTTTAGGGAGTGTACCGTCACTTGGGTCTCATACTGACTTAAAAAGTGTGTCTTATAAACGCCTAATACAAGACATGGTGTCTTCTATTCCATGGGGGTCTTCTATCCGGGCGTTTACGGTGGAGTGCACATGGGAGGCTTTAGAAAGGCATGCATGCATGCATGGCACCTTCGTTGCAACCGCATGATAGAAACAGTGCAATTGACTTCACCACGCGGAGCTAAATTAGTCGCCTACGAATGCACGAGGCACGCAACAAGGAATGCCCTCCCTCCTCCTTGGCTCGATGCCATCCAGGGCAGCGCCTCCTGACTCCCGAGGCACGCTGTGGCGCCCGCCACCACGCATGGGGCCGACGACCGACTGCCAACCTGGCGTGTGTGTAAGTGCATCATTGCCTCTGCTCTGCCTCTTCCGCTCCTGGGGTCGCACAGTTGGCCAGCGCGCACCATCCCCATCACTGTTGGCCAGCGCGCACCATCCCCATCAGTGTGCACCCCTCTTGCACCACAGGGTCACTCTCCTCTCCGCTCCACTCGCCAGCTCCAAACCAATAAATGTACCCCCCCCAGCACTACTGTGGGTCGGGCTAGTCTTGGGCTCTCCCCCCCAATGGCGGGGCTAGCAGCAGGCCAGCGGTCAGGCCAGGGGGTGGTAGGCGGTGGGCATGGCCGGCTCCGTTGCTGTGCGCACCACTCTCCCCCCCGCCTCCCCTCCCCCCGCCTCCCCTCCCCCCGCCTGCTCCTCCCCCATGCTAGCAGTCGCACTCACCCGCTCGCCCCCGCTCTCCCCTCCCAGCCCTGCACTCCCGTATCTGCCGTCTTGCCTCGGTCCGAAGCTGCGGCCGTGGGAGGGGCGGGTGTGGAGGTAGTAGCCCCCGGGGGCGAGGTGCAGGGGCGTGCCCGGGGCGGAGGCGGAGAGGCGCGGCGGCGTGGGGCCCACGGAGAGCCCAGGGCGGCGGCCAAAGGGCACCACGGGGGAGAAGGCGAAGCGCGGACTCGTGGCCGCCGACACGGGCCGCGACGTGCTGCTGCTGGTGGTGGTCATAGGGTTGGCCGTGCTGCTGCTTCTGGTGCTGCTGCTGCTGTTTCCTGCCCACGTGTCCCCGCCAGAGCTAATCCCAGCTGTCCGGGGAGAAGCGCCGCTTGAGGTTCGGGCCAAGCCTGCACCGGAGGCCCGGGGAGGGCTGGAGACGTCGGACCGGGCTCGGGCCAGCTTCTCTGACTCGCCGTTGACGGCGATGACAGGTGGCAGGCTGAGATTGGCCACGAGCGCTGAGAGGTGCTGCGCTGCCTCCACCATCTCCGCCGTCCCACTCTGACCACTGCTGCCACCCACGGCACCTGGCGAATCACCCGACGGACCACCTGAAGCTGCTGCACCTGGCTCCATCTCAACAGAACCTTCTGATCCCTGCGTTCCTCCACTCCCCCCCTCCACTCCCCCCTCACGCCACTCCCTGCTGTTTGCCCCCTCTCCCCCCCACCACTCCCCGCCCTTCCTGCCTCCACCGGCCTTCGCCCAAAGAACCAGCCCGCCCAGCCCCCCCCCCTGTCCCTCCTCCTCCTCTCTCACCCCCCCCGCCCTCACTCCACCTCTCCGCAGCTCTACCCCCCCCCTCCCTCCCCGTCCCCGCCCCCTCACTCATGCGCTGCCCCCACCTGGCATCTGCTGACTCAGCACCAGCTGAATCTCGGGAAAAGGCCGAAGAACTCCGCCCAGCGGCATCAGCAGCGTGGGTGGCGGAGGGCGGCAGTTGGAGGGCGGCGGCATGGGTGGGGGAGAGCAGCAGCAGGTGCTGCATGGCGGGGGGCATGTGGGAGAAGACCACTCGCAGGTCGCCCCTCAGCTTGCCCACTGCTGGGGGCTCGCCGGCTCGCCGCCACGCCTGGAGATGTGGAGACACAGTGCGGGTAAGGGCGGGGGGCACAGAGAGGTGAGGGGCACAGAGGGGTGGGCGGCACAGAGAGGTGAGGGGCACAGAGAGGTGAGGGGCACGACTAAAGAGAGACGCCACAGACCGCTGCTGTGCTGGTGGATGGGTGCACACAGGGGGGGGGTGGTGCAGAGGTGTGAGGTGGGTCTAGAGGAGCATGGGCATTGAGTGATGGTGAAAGACCTTGCCATGCACGCACATGTACCAACGAAATCCATCCCACCCGAATCACCGCCCTCACGCCTGCCTCTCCCTCACACCTGCCTCTCGCTCTGCCCCTCACCTGTCGCTCGTCCGCCATCTGCGTCGCAAGGCACGAGAACGCCTCCATCAGCTCGCCCTCGCCCATGCCCTCCACAAACTTCCTCGCGTCCGCCCTCAGCCGCGCCGCCCGCCACAGCCGGTGCTGCTCCGCCTCCGCCACGGCGCGCCGCCGCTGGAACCACGGCATGAAGTTGGGCCCTTCCAGAAACCTTCTGTACACCTCCAGCCACCTGCCCGCCTGCAGCCTCTTCGCCAGGAACTTCCCCGGGCCGCGGGCAGCCAGCTGCCCGAGAAAGTCCGCGGCGTCGAAAGGGAGGAGCGGCGGCGGGTCACAGAAGGGCGAGGTGTCTTCGGGGGGCGCGGCGGCACGGAGGAAGGGGCCGAAGGGGGCGAGGAAGTTGGTGGTGAGCTCGATGAAGTGCCTTCTGAGGATCTCGTTGTTCACCATCGCCACTGTCTCCATCGACGTCGCCTGCCGCGCCGCCCCCGCTGCTGCTGCCCCTCCTGGGGCGGAGCCATCAGCAGGCGAGTCGTCCAGCCCCGTCACCCCCGCCACGCCTGCCAGCAGCGACCCGGCGACGGCGCCGGGGAGGCTGAAGAAGGACGAGGCGGCGGAGGAGGGGGCGGAGGCGGAGGCGGGGCGCGTGGACGAGAGCGAGATGCCGCCGCCCCCAGCCCCTGCTGCCACCCCTGCAGCAGCAGCAGAGGAGGCTAGAGAGCCGACGTCAGCAGGGGAGGCAGCAGCAGCAGAGGCGGAGGAAGCGGAGCGGTGGGGGCGGAGGGAGGAGGAGGAGGGGTGCAAAGCGGTGGAGGTGTCTACGAGGCGGTTGAGCACGGCAGTGTCGGCCTTGACTGCGGGCACGTGGTTGGTCCACAGCGCCTCGCGGTGCTCCGCCATGAGCGAGAGTGGGCCCTCCCTCCGCATGCGCGCCACGCCTCTCGTGCCCGCTGAAAACACACTGGGGGCAGGGCATGGGACAATGGGGGCGGGATTGAGGAGAAACGGGTGTTAGCAACGAGGCGAGACCGCCTGCACGTGGTTGGTCCACAGGGGCTCCCGATGCTGTGCTGCCATTCTCCCCTCGCGTCAGCGCACCACTAGTGGCCAATGGTCTCAGGGGCGACACCTGCTGCCTCTGCGGCAGTCCAGCAACGCTCTCTCACACTGCCGTCTGCTACTTACACTGTCACACTCCCCTCGAGCCCTTCCTGCTGTCCCTCTCCCCTCACCTCAGCAGGCCGCTGGTGGCCAGTCGTCTCAGCGGCGACTGCTGCTGCTGCTGGGGCAGCCGCGCCACGCTCTCCCGCACTGCCACCTGCCCGTTCGGCTGCAGGCTGCCGCCCGCCCCCACGCCGTACCGCGCGGCGCCCGCCACGCCGTGGCCACCGTGCGGCGGGCGGCCGATGGAGAGCACGTGGGGGAGGTGCTTGAGCGCCTTGAGGAAGAAGAGGTTCGTCACGCCCAGCACCACGGGCGGGATGGGGTCGCCGTCGCGCAGCGCGTTGAGCAGGGGGAAGTCGGGGTCGTGGATGGTGAAGTAGGGCCGGAAGTCCAGCGAGCACGGCAGCGGCGCGATGAGCCCCACGAGCGCCGCCACGGCCTCGGAGCACTGCGCGGGCGTGGGGGCGAGCACGAGCAGTGGCTCGCCGATGAGCAGCAGCTCCCACAGCACCCACAGCTGCGCCACCACCCCCGTGAAGATGCCAAACACGTCCGCGTCGTGGAAAATGCCCTGGTGGGGGAGGGGGAGGTGGGCGGATGGCGAAGGGGAAGTTGAATAAGAGGCGCCGTGGATGCTGTGTGCTTCACGCGGCTGAGAAGCACACGCCCGTGAAGGTGCCAAAAGCTACGAGTCATGCCCGCGCGGAGGAGAGGCAAGAGCAGAGCATGGGGAAGCGGAGAGGGCGGGGGGGTGGTAAAGGGGAAGTGGAGAGGGCGGGG